ATTAAAAATTATTTTCATTGTTACCTTATTGGATCTACTGGAAAACTGAAAAATGGGTTTTCTGCCGACACCTTACTAGTACAATTTCTGTAAGAACAAATTCCAGAGGAAGTTGATGGCAATATCTATAAAATACATAATATAAGCAAGACAAACTTTTAAAAAAGTAGAATATACAAATACAATTAATACAGCGTTTACCCATCTTATCAACAACTTTTGCTGCTTCATGCAAAAAAAGTATAAACCAGTTAATTTCAAATTAAGATTTATCTGATTTGGAATTGACAAACAAATATTCATACAAAAATTAATATAAGCTTATTAATATGAAGAAAATCCTCAAACAAAATTATGAGTAGTTTGGGTACCTAAGAGACGAGATATTAATAAAATAATTTTTCACGATTTAGTACGAAGTCTTATGAGAATGCAGATTTTTTTGGTCTTTCCACTTAGAATGTGCAACAATTGACAAACAGTTTCCACAGCAACTTGTATAAATAGGAAACCGATATCTAAGGAACCATATGATAGCTTGTAGAAATCGATTAGGTACTTGTAAGATACATAATTTATAATAATTCTCCTTCAAACTGCTGTCGTTGACTAACTTATCCTCCATATGTGTGATAGCGCGGTCTCGACGTAGCGTCGTTTGAAATTTGCAGGTATCCAAGCAAACAGAATGATCGAACGCGAGCGAGTAAACGCCGAGATGAGCGAGCCAGCCAAGTGCAACATTGAAAAATCTAAAGGCTTACTACTTTAGTCACTAGCGAATCTACAGAAACTCTCGTTAGACTTTAGATGTACCTCCGTACCTGATAAACCTCCTTAATATGACAGATTATATACTTTTTGAACTTTGTGCATTAAAACTGCATTAAAGTTCAGTTATAACGGCAAGTAAAATAAAAATTAGAAACCTATGCTTAAGAACAAACTGTAGGAAATACATTTTTTTAAATAAAACTCTTTGTACCTTTTTATGTTATCACAAAAAAAGTATTGCTTTAACATCATAAGAATATTTCTTGAAATTTCATCTATACCATTTTTCCAAAAATTTCATTCACGGATATAATTTTACTAAAATGTAAGTGTATACAACCCTATCATTAGACGAGCATACACAGACGGATAAATTGGTCAATTTAATCAGTAAAAATATGACTCGACAATCAAGCCCGTTACATATCAAATCTATCACGATGACACTTTATGGATGCTTAAGATGAACCAATTTAATCGGTATAGATTTGACTCACATATCAGACTCATCAAATCTGTCATGGCAATTAGGGCACATATTTGATCCCCTGACTTGATACTCCGGTTGATACATTTGTTAAAATTTGAATGTTAATATCAAACCCACCATTTATTTAATTTGCTTTGCGACTTTTTAAGAAAACTAAAAGTTTTTTTTTGGGTTTGCTGCCCGACATGAAAATGAATATTTTTGTTTCCAATATACCAAATCTGCCAATTGGACTCACAGAATTGTGTCTACTATAACTCTACCTCAAGGAGGTTATCGCTTACAATAAACCTGAATGATGAGATTGGTGGCCCGGCTCATCACATACACGTTCAACAAGTCCAGTAGAACCTTGATAATCTGAATGGAATAACCTACTAAATCGAACGACCTAAAACCTGAATCTGACTGTCATAGATGAAAAAAATTTGAAAGAAGTCACATGTCATGCAAATCATGAACAACATATGTATGTACTACATGTAATTTCATACCCTTCTACTTGATTCCTGTTCAGGCTGTTGTAATATTCAATTAAAGTTCTTATTAAATTATTGGAGCCTGAGTTTGTTGCGTGTTCATGTGAGCATTATTAGTTAATCCACACTTTTTGATGGTCAGAACTATCTTCAGTCTCAATTAATTTGGATTATAAAGATGCTGCTGTATAATGTTTTTTAGTTAGGCAAACCTATTTTCATGAAAATAATCCTTGATTTATCCTTTCAGTGCGATTTGTCATTAATTTTGACAAGGAACTGGAAGGTGAAAAATTCCTTGACTGTATNTTTCTCTGAAGGTGTTTATGGGTGGGAAAAGATTTCACAGTGTCTTGAAACAGTGAGCCTGAGAGATGGCGGGAGATTTTTTGACAAAGGCATCAAAAAGCTCACCCCTCGGCTCACAAAGTGTATTAAGGTTCAAAAAATTGTGTTTGATGTACCTTTCTGAAAACGTAAATTTTTCATCGCGACACAAAGGTCAGGATTGGGTATGCATCTCAGATTAATAAAAAGTTGTATACGCTATAAAAATTTTGTTTGAAATAACATAAAAATACGTACCTTTCTACCTTGATCATTTATAAAAAATGCTTCTGCTACTGTAGAATCTGAGGGGTCCGAAAATGCTATTGATCCTGGAATAGTAAATCATTAAATCAAATACATTATACACAAATAAAGTAAAACCAATATATTATATAAATAATTTTATACTTAAGAAAGCTGCTGATGCTATTTATTATTTCTTTAAAAGTATAATTAATTTCATTGTATAAAAAAAATATACACAAGAAGCCTCATGCACTTACTTCTAATAAAGTCAACAATAAATCCTTCAGGAGGTTTGGGGACAGCATCGGATTTTAGTATTCCTGTACACTCAAAACAGTCTTGTTCAAAGTGGTCTTCACAAACACCCAACTTTCCAGAAGCCATTGTTTTCACAGTCTCTTCTGGTGTAGAGATAAGCCCTCCTCTATGACAAGCTGTAAGCCAAGCTATACACCTAGATAATTTACAAAGTAATGAAATATAATCAAAATTATATTGTACTGGGTATATTTAAATAAAAGACCCTCAACTGTTACAGTCAAATTGAAGCCTAAAAGTTTAAGTTAATTTGTGAAACCAATGAACAAATTATCTTCAAATTAGGCATGACTTATAATAGTACGAGTCCTAACAACTAAAGGTTGCGAAGGGACCTTATTTATCACAAATTAGATGCAAATTTTTTAAATAAAGTTTTTCAAATTCACTTCAACTTTACACAATAATAATTGTCACAAATTCAGTGTTAAGAATACTGATTGACTCGTCTTTATTAACAACAACAGTTGTACTCCAATGAAAATTAAACAAAAATTACATATAATACGTTCGGACAAAAGAGTTTGCTTATGGCTTGTTTGGTTTAGAGTTCTGATGAAAATCAGTATATGTTGGAGACTAACTTACTGCCCACGGTATCAGAAGAATTTGGCGACAGAAATTTTATTTTACAATGGGACAGTATCCTCTGCCATATGTCCAAACTTACAAAAAATAGTTTTGGATATAATAATAATAGTCTTGAATTGACCGTCAAGAAATCCTGACCTAAATGTCATTGAAACATTATGACAGCATATGAAAACGTTCTTGCGAACAATCGCAACGGGCAACTCCTGATCTCAAAAGATAAATCCAGGAGATTTGTGAGTTTTTTAGTCTAGAATTTTATAGATACTTAGTCAATTCATAATAAATTCTCAATATTAGTTCCACCTAATAATTTATTGAAAAATACAAAAGTTACAGCAAAAAAAACATTTTTAATTCTCAACTTCAAGAGCTAATAACTCTACAGGGTGAGCCCGGAGGCAAAAATTTTATATGAACTTGTGACGTTATTTTCTCATTATCTATTGCCCACCATTTCCGGGACACCCTGTATATAAGTGCAAAATATTACAAATAAATTTTCTTAATCTATCTATTTAAGG